GTATACTAAAATAAACTACTACTTACTACTTGTACTACTATTCCTACTTTGCGGTTTTTCATTAATCGCGGGGCTTCAGGGTATGGATCCCCAGTGTTAAACGAGGGACTACTGTATATTTATATAAACCTTTAGGTATTTTGCCTTTACATTACGTAAAATTATCCTTTTTTTCTCTTCATTCCTTTTACTTTAAACTTTCTAATCTTTTTACCTTTTGTCTTTATTCCTGCTTGGTTTTCAGATCTTCTGGCGTTTGAGTCGTGTCTCTGTGCCATCTCGTCTTCCTCACAGAGGAAACAGAGCCGAGATGTCTTCCACTTTATGAGCAGTCAGACCTTTTCTGTTTCCTTCTCTGACCTTGTTGAGCCATTCTGAACGTACTCCATCTCTGGAGGAATGAATCAGATCTGAAGGGAAGTCCTGAGAAGCCGGTGCCCTGACAAATGTCCAGTTAAAGTTGGGCTTATTCTTATCTACAGTCTTCTGGGCTGAGACATTATGGTTGTAGTTGCAGCTGGTTTTCTGCCGTTCGGACTGTTATCATGCTTTATCCCTTTAAGTAATTTAATGAAATGATGATTAACCTGCAATAGAAGTGTATAAATAACACTCAATACTGAATGTTTGTCCAGATGAAGTTGGTGGATCTTTACATTCCACAATAATAGCCATAATTTATCTTATGCTGCCTTTCCTTATCGGACCATAATCAATCAATAGTAGATCTATGCTTCTAAATATTATATGTTGTATGTACAGAAACAGCTCGTATGGAAGTTTATCGTGTCTATGAGTTCTTTGGACGTTACTGTAGGGAAGCACAAGTCTGAGAGAGAGACTTCACTTCCTGCCTACTAGAGAACTCAGCCAGAAAGTAGGGATGCACGATATATATAGAAAAACAACACTCTCCAAGGTCTTCTGCCTCATCTTACGCTCATGCTGAGTCCATTGTTGAAAAATGACAAAATAGAACTCCTAAAACTGCTAAAACTTGATGCCACTTCGTTTTTGTTTTATTTCCAGAAGAAGAAGTGTCTTCTTTAGAGGTTTTTGTGCCGTTTCTTTCAGTAGTTCTTGGTGCAGCGCCCCCACAGGCGAGTGGGGGAACAGGTTGGTTCAACAGGTTGGCTCGACTGCACAGTGCAGTGTGAATGCAAACGCACCAGCTCAAATGTAAACAAAATGTTATTGGTCCCCAACCGAACTGAGTCTACCGGACTATCAGGTGTGAAAACAACCATATGTCACCAGCTCTTACAGCTGTTACACAATTTTTGTAGCAAATAAGACTAAATAAGGGGGTTATGTTCTGACAAAGGAAAGTATTAAAAAAATAGGTATCGGTTATCGGCCAAATAAGTTTTAACATATCAGCATATCGGATATTGGCCAAAAATCCAATATTGTGCATCCCTACCAGAAAGGCTTTATAATCTCAGAGATTATGTGTGTGATGTGTGTTTCTTACATGCCTGAGAGAGATTTACCTACAAAGATGTGACACGCATCAGAAATACCGTAATTTCCAGACTATAAGCCCCTACTTTTTTCAGACTTTGAACCCCGCAGTTTATACAATGCTGTGGCTAATTTTTTTATTATTTTTTTTTTGATGGGCTAACGAGCATCATGCCACCAAAGCATTTAGCTCCGTCACACCCGGGCGCTCACATAGCTGCCCAACATAAGTCTCTCTTGGGTGGGTCCTCGTGACTCAATGACACTACCTGTATGAATATAGCTTAAAAAACCTCTGACCAATGAAATTACCAAACAGATCACAGTGGACCAATGAAATGTTGAATGACCATAAATCAAATGCACTCGCACTAAATTCTTCAGATTAGTTATTTTACACTTCATGCACAGACCCTCTTCATGGAAAACGCACGAAAAAATGCAAATTATGAAGCTTTCGAGTTAAAGGCAATCGATCTGGCGGTCAAAAAGGAACTCAAGCTGCTGCACGTACGCTTGGCGTTTCCTGGTAAGCTACTGTATTTATTTATTTTTATTTTTTTAACCAGCTGTGTTACAGGCACTGTTCAGAAAAAAAACAAACAAAAAAAAACTACGTATTTGTATACGTTACCAGTACGTATTTACTTAAAACTTGAAAAAAATATTTCAGTGTAAATATCTCATGTTACAACGTGGACACCCCGCTTCTAGACGAGCACGACCTAGATATGTACAATTTTATTTTAATTTTTTTAGTGGGCGCAGCTTCTATTCGGGTGCGCTCAATAGTCTGGAAATTACGGTAATTAAAATCCAATTCCTGCAAATACACTAAAGGTCTGTTTTTAACTAATAATAGTGTAAGTGTTTTAAGGACATCACAATATTTAATCCTGACTAAACAGATCAAGTTTATAAGCAATAACTTGTCAGTTTAAGGTTTCACATTAAAACAAAAATTACTGGGAGTAGTTTTAGTCCTGCCTCTGTTTCCCTCTGGACACGTCAGAATGTCAAATCTGATTCAGAGTAAAATGAAAAGTAGAATCTCGTGTTTTTCTGATACGATTGTTGAACAGGAAACCAGAAGGATTAAGTTACACTGCCAGTCAGCCTACAGTGCAAGCATTAAAATGATTTCTCTTCATTTTTTAAAAGTTTATTAATAAAATTAAAAAAAACTAACTTGCATCTCTCAGAATTTTGCATCATTAAATTAAAATTGTCATCACATCCCTTTGGTAATTTCGTCCACACATGACGTTAAAAATGTAACAGGTCCGAACCTCAGGTGTCACTGTGTTTACGTCCACGGTTGGAGATCACACGGAGTATTTGGACTGACTCCAGGGACTCTGGGCCTCGTTCACCTCTGACTGTTAGTGTAAACGCTCGTATTACCCCACATTAAAAGAATTCTGAAAACCAGAGACTGTGTGGTGACTGGTGTTTGTTGTGTTGCTGCTCATATAAATACACGTAGGACTTCCAAGTCGGTCGCCATCTTTCCTGCAAATAGTTTAAGTTTAAACTAAGATCTCACGCTATCTGTTAGAGCTCAGGTTATATGTTGAGGTCGACTCTCAGCTACTACCACACCATATTATAGCTCCATTTTTTATTGGCATCTTTGTGTTTGCTAAGCTGTGGCGGCCATCTTGTAGGTTAATCTGTTGTCGGGGTCCATTCAGTGATTGCATTCTGAGTTTTAATAAAATCTGTTTTTCAGTTTGCATTATTTAAACATTTCTAAAGATGCATAATTTACAGATTTCACTAAATCAGAAGTTCTGCACAAATCACCCCCCAAGGATTATATCTACTTCCTGCTTTGTTCCGACTCCTTCCACGGCTCCTGCAGACACTTTGTGTTGAACTTGTGACCCGTTATAAGATTTAATAAATAACAAGGGTTAATTCTCTCATTTTATTCCTAAGTTCACCGTTGTTTCTGAAAATCGATGGCAGGTTTTATTGTTTTATTTGTAGCTGAACAAAGTGTTTGTTTTTAAAAAGTGAAATCTTCTTCTTGATCAATAAAACCCGCAAGTATTTCTGTGATCATGACTTTACTCTCATAAGTTCAATAAGGTTGATTAGAATTTTTTTTGTGTGTGTGCAATATCTCCAGCTTATATTTCAAGTAAAAAAAATAAATAAATAAAAAAAAAAATATATATATATATAGTAGAATTTATCGTGATATATTTACACTAGATGTAAAAAAAAAAATTTACAAAAAAATTAAATAATAAAATCTGTGAGGTAATTTTAAAATAATCAGAATCTTAAGACTCCCCTTATAGATGGCTAATAAATAGTTTATAGATAATTATTAATTCCTCTATAAACACTTTATAAATCATTAATAGCTGCTTATTATGCATTAATTAAGAGTGACAGAGACAAAACTGACCAATTCCGTGCCAAATAGTAAGTCACATTTGTTCAGCTATATATTTCATCTAGAGTTATATTAAACATTTCAGACTAAGTTACTACCTTGTGAGCAGAATAAGCATTTGTAAACCTATTTCTTTAGCATATAATATTGTACTTTATCACTACATTATAAGTATCTACAACTAATATTATAGGCTGTCCTAAAGAAATAGGTTTACAAATGCTGATTGTTCTTACAAGGTAGTAACTTAGTCTGAAATGTTTAATATAACAACTTTAGATTAAATATATAGGTGAACAAATTTGACTTACTATTTGGCAAGAAATTGGTCAGTTTTGTCTCTGTCGCCTTAGTAAATGCATAATAAACAATTATTAATGATTTATAAAGTGTTTATAGAGGAATTAACATATCTAGAAAATATTTATCAGCCATCTAAAAGGGGAGCCTTATTGTAAAGTAATATCTATAATCATATTAAATAAAGGAATGACTACAATATAGTTTAAAAATGATGATGCAAGTACCACAAAGACCTGTTTGAGCTGCGTTAAAACACAGGCAGGTACTAAGTTTCATCCATTCACGTTCTGCAAACAAGAGAAACATCTGAGTTGAAGGACTCGCCATGACTAGATGATCGTGGCCGAGATGCCAAACCACACAAAATGTTATGTTGTGTTGAAAGAACTGAGAGGAAATGGGAAATCCTGGATTCACAATATTCAACTAAAATGTCACAATCACAAATTTTAAAAAGTAAAAAAAAAAAAAAAAAAACTAAGTGAAACTCGAAAGACTTGCTGTTGTGGGTCTGATCACAGATGATGCATTCACTGCTCCAGTCTGTTTTCTTTAGATGTCCGATTCACCGGCATCTCCTTTCCCCTTCTCCTGCCTCCAGCTGGCGTAGATGGACTCCTCGTAGTCCCCCAGACCTTCAAACTCAGCATCAGGAGACTCCATGGCCAAACGTGCAGCTTCTTCTGGTCCTAAAAACTCCTGTAAACATCCAAACTACTATTTAAAGTAGAACTGAACCATATGCAGATATGCACATGCGCCAATAATAAAATAAATTATGTTTGAACTTGTCTGACAAAAGTTCAAACCGTCTCATCAGTCTTACCTCGCCCGACTCCAGGGACTTTCCTGCAAATTTCGATATCCATTTTAGTGTCACCGTGTAGTTGTAGTGTTTGAAAGCCTCCTGGTAAAACAAATTAATCATCAGTATGAATTTAGGACAAATAAACTATAATTATTACAGAATTATAGTAAAGTTTTAGTAGCATTAAGCAGACTAGACATGTAACTGCAACCAGTAAACACTCCTCAAAGTGCTTCTGGTTTCCCTCAAACATCTAATTCTGTCCCTAAGGTTTGATTCCCTGAGCAATTTTTACATTTACTTATTATTAGAATAAATAATGTTTAACTGTGAGATTTAAATCTTTTTATATTCAGCACAAAAATGATTTTGAGATCCTGGATATTAATACTCATTCGCCCCACTCTGAGCCCATGAGCAAGGCCCTTAACCCCCACCATGTGCTCCCTAAACAGGTCTCTCTTGAAAATGAGTTCTTGTGGCTCAATGAGACTAACCTGGATAAATAAAGGCTAAATGAAAAAAAAAAAAATACTAAACAGACATAAACTCGTTTTGCTTAAGATTAACAATTTTATCAGTGTTTTTGTTTATCATTTTTTTTATATATAGTATTGGAATACCATTATACTGTATGCACCAACAAAATAAATCATGTAACCATCTCCTCATAAAATGGAGCTTAACTGTAAATTCACCCATTCGTATTTTTTAACTCATCGTTACTGTTAAAGCGTCTAGCTAATCCATTTTCTCATCTTTTTCAGAATATATTAGAAAATCAAGGATTGGTTTTGATAAATGTAGTTCTTACTGGTCTGGGTTTGAAGTGATTGGGCTGAAGGCCCCACTGTTGACTGTAGGCTTTATAATACATCAGGTTCTGCTTCATGACCTGGTCCTCTGGCTCGAACAGGGAATAGCTGTACGCACAAGGAACTGCTCTGCAGCCGTCGTTCACTGCTCAGAGAAGACAGGAATCATGCTGGGTGATGGAGGCGCTGATGGGTAAGCTCAACTGATGGGAAAACTCAACTTACACTTGTAATACGCATACTGGAGGTGGTGGTAAATAGTGGCCACAAAGTTCTCCACAAAGTAACCTCCAACGTTGGGCATCAAGTTTTCCTCACACTTTAATTTGCACTTCAATGCATCAATGTAGACTTCTGTTAAGAGGTGTGTCCAAGAAGAATATTTAGAGATGGACAAAACCAATCTAGTAAATGTCTGAGTATAGTGACAGTCTAGATGTGATTAAATACTGTATACCTGCTATGAGGGAGTAGAAGTCCCTGTCCGGTGAGAAATGACCGATTCCTTCGCATTCGGCCTGACAGAGGTCGAACTCCTGCAGGTAGAGTCTCAGAACTTCCTCCAGAAGCTCCACGCTGCTGCTATAGTCGCCTGAACTCATCAGTTTCACTCCTCTCACAAAGGAGGCCTGGAATCAGAAAACCAGTCAGTATCTGGTGTGACCACCATTTTCCTCATGCAGTGCAACACGTCTTCATAGAGTGGATCAGGTTGTTGATTGTGGCCTGTTGAATGTTGGTCCACTCCTCTTCAGTGGCTGTGTGAAGTTGCTGGATATAGTCAGGAACTGAAACATGCTGTCATATACGCCAATCCAGAGAGCATCCCAAACATGCTCACATGTGATGTGTATGGTGAGTATGGAAACCATGCAAGAACTGGGATGTTTTCAGCTTCCAGGAATTGTGTACAAGCAGCATGGGGCCGTGCATTATCCTGCTGCAACATGAGGTGATGGTCATGAAAGAATGGCTCAACAATGGGCCTCAGGATCTCATCACCGTATCTCTGTCCATTCAAAATGCCACCAGTAAAAAGCACCTATGTTCGTTGTCCATATTGTATGCCTGCCTGTACCATAACCTCACTGCCACTATGGGCCACACGATTTACAATGGCACTGGTGCAGTCTGCCATCTGCCCTGCACAGTGAAAACCGGGATTCATCCGTGAAGAGAACACCTCCAACATACACCATCAAATATGAGCATTTGCCCACTCAAGTCAGTTATGACGATGAACTGCAGTCAGGTAGGGTCCCCATTGAGAACGACGAGCATGCAGATGAGCTTCCCTGTGACGGTTTCTGACAGTTTGTGCAGAAATTCCTCAGTTGTGCAAACTGACTGTTGCAGCAGCTGTCCATGTGGCTGGTCTTGAACGATCTTAGAGGTGAAGATGTTGGGTGTGGGGGTCCTGGGCTGGTGTTACACGTGGTCTGCCGTTGTGAGGACAGTTGTACTGCCAAATTCTTTGAATACGACTTATGTTAAAGAAATAAGCATTCAATTCACGGGCAACGGCTCTGGTGGACATTCCTGCAGTCACCATGCCAATTACATGCTCCCTCATAACTTTAACATCTGTGTCATTGTGCTGTGTGATAAAACTGCACGTTTTAGAGTGGCCTTTTATTGTGGTCAGCCTAAGGCCCACCTGTGCAATAATCATGCTGTCTAATCAGCATCTTGATATGCTACACCTGCGAGGTGGGTGGATTGTTTCAGCAAAGGAGAAGTGCTCACTAAACACAGATTTACACAAATTTGTGAACAATATTTGAGAGAAAAAGCATTTTGTGTACATAGAAAAAGTCTTAGAACATTGAGTTCATCTCATTGAAATGTTTGTATTTAAACTAACCTCCCTTATCATTTGTGGAAATTATGCTTTCTATTTTTTTATTTTTAAAGAATAGTTTCCTCAAATGATAAGGGTGGCTGGAGATTATTCTATGGTGACCAAGGCCACCATTAGCCACCCCTTGGATCCGCCAGGTTATGAATAAGATTGCTCCACTCAGCAGGAGCCGTCATTCTGTGGTGCTCTGGACAAGCAAAGAAAAAAATTATAATAATGCAACGCACACACACAAACGCACCACTATTTATGCAGTGTAACTCCTACTCACTTGAACATCTTGCACCAAAAACATTAAAGTTTGTTCAAGTCAGAATTTTTTTTTTCTTCTTTTGTTTTCCATTCATTTAATGGATTACCAACAAAGTTGACTAATGCAGATGTCGTCTTGTGAATCTGAGACTTTTAGTTTGACCCTAACTTTTTATTTACTGTTCTCTTTCACATATAGCTCTTTAGACAGTGAGACGTTCAAACTGGATCAGTTTGAGAACATTATACAGGGTTAGTCTGCTCTTTAGGATGGATTGTTCTACATCGTACAACCTTCTGCTGGGTTTGCTCACCTCATAAATCTGCTCCTCGTGGTCGATGAGGTAACCGTCCAGGTCATACTCCTTCTTGTACGTCTCCATCAGCTGATTCATCTCCTGGTCCCCGGGGTTCCTCTGGAGGAAGGTGTAGGCACACGGGATGGCCCTCTGTAGGTCGTTCAGCTGCACACACAAATCATCGCTACTGTGGTCAAGAAACTGAAGTAAAAAAATTTTTTTTTTTCTCTCAGATTAGCAAAACTGTTAAATGGGGAAAAAACAGCTTTAACAAAACACCTGCATGACCGTGAGAATCATCTCTTTTCTACTCTGGCTCTCGCTCAAGGTGGACGCTCCTGCTCTCCCCCTGTTCTCCTCTTCCTTCTGCTTCGCTCTCTATGTTTGAAGCTCCCGGTACACATTTCCCGAATGAAAAATACGTTTATGGATCTGATGAGCTGGACTTTCAACGCAATCGACCAAATCTTTTCAACAAAATGACAGGGTCCTGGAGAACCCTCTTGTCCGGCTGAGACTCACGCTGCGGGGTACATCAGAGATCTGTGGGGAGTGTGGCAGCTGATGCGTCTCTCAGCTCTGTCTCAGGAGGACGCTGAAGATGTTTACATATTTGGATTTATGATAGCAGGAGTTCTGCTCTTTGGCATCGGCGGGGCTCTGTTTTATCGACTTTTGAAGAAGACTTCGGCAGCAGTTTCGGCCATGACAAAGCTTCCGAGTCAGTGCGAAGGTTTGGTTTGTGCTACGAGTACTCGAAATGAGTCCCCAAAGCTCAATGGGATTAACCTGTATAAATAAAGGTTGAATGAAGAAAAAAAATCCAACTGATTTATGAGCTAAACTGTGAGATGGAGGCGATTTGTGAGACTCGCAGGCCACCCGCGGCTCCTAGGACTCGTCAGCATGTTGGGATCGACCTTGAAGAGAGCTCATAACACGGATCAGTCGAGTGAATACCCATAAATTTGTCCATTTTGGACCGGAAAGTTCCAACAGCACTCAAGGCTGACAAGAAAAAACAGTCTGCCTGAAGAAAATTCAACAATTGTGGCTTATCTGAATCTGACTCCCCCGTTTGGCCTCGAATATGAGCCGACTGTCAAATTTCTCCTGGGACATGGGTAACTAGGGACAAAAGCTTTGTCTGTTGCAACCCCCCAAAGAGAACTTCTGTGCAGGCTTATCAGAACTGCTGGCTGAAACAACATCATCAGAACCGTGGCGTATCTGAAAGTGCTCATGGACAAATCTCAACGTCTTGACGTCAGATGCATATGTAATGTGTTGATGAATGTGTTTGCTGGTAGAGATTTTTAATGGCTCAAATCGTGTCCTGATAGGACAAGATGTGAAGAGATCTTTTTATTAATACCACTATCGATCCTTATGGTTCTTAACCTTTTTTTTTTTTTATTTAAAAGTATTCTGATAAAGAATAAAGGACCACGCTTGCAGCAGCAACGTGCACTCCGCCCATCTTTCGGACGACTACGAATATAATTTCACCGTATTTTGGTACAATGATAATGATTCTGATCTCTGAGCTGATAAAACTGTCCTGCATCCTTGAAGAAAGTTTAAATTAACTGCTTGTCATAGTCTGCCCTTTTAGTTTGTTTTCTTTGTTTATCTGGTCTTTAGTTCCTGTTCTGTCATAATCTGTCCTGTTATTTTTGCGCTTATCCTCCTCTCTGTTCCTTTTTCTCTTCCTAGTGTTTTGCCTCCATCATGTGGTGTATGAAAGTTACTACTCCCTCATTAAGTTCCAGGTTTCTTCACCTGTTGTCCTCACAGCTGTTTGTCATTTGTCTCGTCAGTGTTGAAGAATTTAAGTCAGTGTGTTAAGTTGTCCGGTATCTGGGCATTTCCTCATGAAGACTCCTGGCTCCAGTTTCATGTCCTGCACTAAGCCCTGGTTTTTGTCTCCCTTCCTGACCATGTATTTATTAATTTAAGTTTTTGTGGCCCAGTTAGCCCCCCTTTTTTTTAAATCAAATACTTTTTCTTTGCTATAAATCTGAGTAATCTGAGTCCTCCCTGCATTTTTGGGTTCAAACCACCAAATCCTTACAGTGCTGCTCAGTGTGTCATAGTGCAAAAGTATGGAATCTTGTTTCTGCCATTCAAAAAAAAAAGAAGTTAAATATGTCATAGGAGTTTCAAATCTTAATTATGAGATGGTCATACAATTTTGAAATAAAGTCAAAATTAGTTATAATCACATTTAATAATTATGACATTTAATGTAAGAATTAAATTTCTACCTCCATTATTTTTTTAAGCCCATTGACTTTATCCCATAGTTATGACTTTGAAACTCTGACATTTCATTTGGCAGTTCTTTTTTTATTTTTCAGTGAAACAGGCTTCCATACAAATGATTCAGCCAAGAACAGGGTGATCTATCATAAACTTTTTTTTTTACCAAGATTTAAAACTGCAGCAGTACAAAGTAAAGAGGCACTGAACATGTTATATTTTGTTATTTATCTTTAAAGTTTTGCAGACGAGCTAAACAAGACAAAGTGGGCATCTGGTAAGGATGCAAACTTGTTGTGCTGTTGCTCCTCATAAAACATGTAACATAATTTTTTTTTTAGTCTTTCCCCGTGTTTTATCAGCAATATGATCTGTTTCTAATTAGAACAAACACTTGTCACCTCGGAATAGGCAAAGTGCAGATATCTGTACGGGGATCTTGTGCTGAACTCTTCCAGGGTCTCCCTGCCGGGGGGAGGCAGCTGCAGGGCTGGGAGGTGCGCTCTGCACCTCCTCTGACAGCGCGCAGTCCGCAGGATGCGCCAGAACGCGCGGAGATCCGGAGCTGCAGTGAAGAACGGCTCCATGTGGTCGCAGAGGAGCGCGCAGACGCGCACCGAGTCCTGGTGAAGACGGCGCAGACGCAAACTCAACTCCAAGTACCGGATCGACTCGGTCCAGTTCCTCGCTGCGTAAAAGTCCTTGGCCAGCCCGTAGGCGGTGTTGAGGGGCGCGAGCTCCTCTGCGGGGAAACTCCTGAAGCTGTAGCTCTCATATTGTGCAGATGTCCCAGCTAAAGCCGCACAGAGGAATATTAACCGCAAACCTTGTGCACGCAATTCAACCATGATTTGGTCGCCGTCCTCTCTGCAGCTCCCCCACTTTTTGTGTGGGGGGTCTGTTAAAGAGCTCAGGGGTCTGTGGGAATTCTGGGATTGGGTCCTTCAAAGCCAGCTCGGGTTGCAAAGAATAAACCAGCTGCGCCACTCAAATGCGTAATTGCGCACGAGTGCTCATGTTTATTTTTGCGTTTACAAACAAGACTGGTTCAGTTTTGTATTAAAACTATAGAACAAGCTTATCAGTGATGCTCGTGTTGGATCATTTTGGGCTTTTTCAAATATAGTTCCTGATTCACATGAAGTCTGTGTGAGGGGTGGGTTATCTAATGCGCAGCAGGATCAGAATTAAACTGGTTGATCCAGACAGAGGCGGGATCTGTTTCCAGCTGTGATGCTTGGATTTCAAAATAAAACCAAGTATTTCACGTTTGAAGGCACAAGAACTAAACTCAGAAGATTTTTTTTAGGCAGATTAAACGGATGTTGCGTAACAAAAAAAGTTACATTTAGGTAAAAAAAAGAAGAAGAAAAGGCATGAAACATTTGTCCTTTTATTTTTGAAAGGAAGCAGATTTTGTCCTCCTTGCTGGAAGTCTGACAGAAGCTCTTCCCACTCCTCCTAACATTCCTCCCACTGTGGGGGGAAAAACTGCAGACCTGGAGTTTGTCCACGTTTACAGCGCTCCGCTCCACATCATCTCCCACCCTGCAGGCCTGTACCTGAACGCACCTTAGATTTCCTTTTTTTGTTTCTTTTAAATCAGTTTTCATCATTAAAGCGAGCTGACCTTTGTGTAAAAACATGTTTAGCCTGTGCCTGGTCGTGTCTTTCCTCTCTACGTGGCTTTCCGTGAAGTGTAACCCCAGTCCCGTCTTGGGAGACGTAGTCGTGGACAGATACGACGTCCCCAAAGATTGTCCGAGAGAGGCGAAAACCGGGGACTCAGTCCGCTACCATTATAACGCCACGTTTCTGAACGGGAGCGCGTTAGATTCAAGGTGAGTTGGACATTTGAGCACTTCAAGTTTTCTGCTGGAAACAACTTTTAATGCGTCTTTCTGCATGTTGACCCACTTCCTTTTCTTTCTTTTGCCCTCTTGGTTTCTTCCTCAGCCACCAGAGAGGAGCAGCTAAAGTGGGTCTGATCGGGGAGGGTCGGCTCATCGCTGGGGTGGACAAAGGCCTGCAGGGGATGTGCGTAAAGGAGCGCAGGAGGATCACCGTCCCTCCTCACTTGGCTTATGGAAGCACAGGCGCAGGTAAATATCAGTAGATGTGCTTTAGGTGGAAGCTCTTCTACTTTAGCTTGTTGTGCAGCAAAACATAAAAATCAGTTAATTTGGTCTTCACATAGTGCTTCAAGAGTGAACTGCAGGCAGGCCTCTTGTCTTGGAGGATGCTAGTTACTTGAAAAAAATCATTAGACGACTCCTTAGTATGAAAGCATTTTTTTGAGTTAGTTTGTTTTTTTTAATTTCACCTTTAAACCTACTTAAACGTATTCGTATTTACTGATGATGCTCTGATTTACACAACAGATATGTTTGTAAAGAGCCGGTGAATTCATTATTTAATTAATTTATTTTTTTGTAATTAATATGAATGCATTTTTTGGATGATGACATCAATAATGTGTATCGCAAACAAAACTTCACATTGCTGAGATGAACAGTTGTTGAGATATTTGGACGCACATGAACAGGAAGTGATGTCAAAGGGGAACATGCATGTGAACAGAGCGTTGCTACAATGGCTAACAGACCATAGAGATGATGATGTTTCTATAGATTATTCTGAGTCGATATCAGAGAGATGAAGAGTTGGAGTTCCATTAATATTGTTTCGATAAACAAATAACAGGAAGGTCCCCTTTGATGTCACTTCCTGTTCCACTTTGGCCCCAAGTTGGCAAGAAAAACAGCTATGTGACAGAATGGATTAAATCAGGTGTATTATGTCAAATTTCTTAAATATTAGATGTTTTCTTCCACTTTGTGTGTTTTATAAGATATTCATGTTCGTCACTTTCATGCATTTGTTTCAAACTATTCCAAAGACCAGCTCTTCAAAAACTAGTTTGCAGTCTCAACTTTTAGAAACTTTTACTGGTAGGCTGTTAATTGGCGATGATGAAATCTTCATATTACTTATAAACTTATGTTGACGCTCTTAAATTATTCCCCCATGTGGTCTTTCATCAAGTGATGGGACCCTCGTTCATCTGGACACGAACACCTCCATTTCCAGTTAGGAAGAATGTATGGAAGATAATTAATGCCAACATAATTTTAACTTACAACATCAAAATTCAAAGAAATCACTGTTTTATTAATCAACTGCAGCAAATAATGTTTGTTTTTGAGGACCTGGAATGTGTCTACATGTGCGAAGAATACTATCCATTAAACAGTAAACCTGGTTCAGGTCTGGTTAACAGGAAACAGCTGGTTTCTGGGTCACCATGAACCTGTACAGCTCAGTTTAGTCCAGAGTCTTTTGTTTGGGAGATAACTGGTGAAGCAAACAGCAAGTGTTGAGCTGGGATTCAAATTGATTAAACTGGTAAAAAAAAAAATAGCTGTAAATCTAATTATTCCACTTGCTGGGCACTAATCAAAACGCAACCTGTAAACGAGCTGTTTGTAACTTAAAGTTCTAAACCCGCCTCGGTCCATATTTCCAGGGGACGCGGTTCCTCCAGATACCACCCTGGTGTTTGATGTCCACCTCCTGGATCTGTGGAACAAAGACGATCTGGTCGTCACCAAAACCATCAGCACTCCCAAAGACTGCAAACGCTCCGTGATGCGCACCGACTTCGTGCGTTACCACTTCAACGGCACGCTGCTCGATGGCACCCCCTTCGACTCCAGGTCAGCTCTTCGGATCGGTGCTCCTGTTTGGAGAACGCTCTGACGACCAGTAGTTCCATTTAAACCGACAATCGTGCCGCCTAAACTTTAAAGCTTTATTAAATTGTATACCCCATGTGTGTGTGTCTGCACTGTGTCATCCAGGGATGTTTGTGTGAAGTTGTGTGTCTTGACTTTGCACTTGTATGAGCCCGCGCAGCTACACCAGGAAGCAGACCCACAACTCTCTGGTGGGTGAAGGTTGGCTGATCAAAGGCATGGATGAGGGGCTGCTGGGCATGTGCGTGGGAGAGATCAGGCACATCACCATCCCGCCGTTCAAAGCATACGGAGAGAAGGGATCCGGTACGAAGAAGTGACAAAAGATGCAATCTCAGTTGTTACAGCCATGCCTCGTAGCTTCCTGTGGACAAATTTAAACGTCTGAAATCCTCCACTTCCTGTCTGGCAGGGACGGAGATCCCTCCTCAGGCCACACTGGTGTTCGACGTCCTGTTGGATGACATTCACAACCCCAAGGATAACATCACCGTCGAGGACCAGGTGGTTCCCGATCCGTGCATTCGCAAGTCCGTGGTGGGCGACTACATTCGGTACCATTACAACGGAACGTTCCTGAACGGCGTCACCTTTGACACCAGGTGAGCTCAAATCTGACGGCACATTATTTAACAGACGGGCTTACATTCACGGTTTCAACTAAAACTCCTAAACAAAAAAAGTGAAGTTTATGATACAGTGTGTATTTTTGACATTCAAAAAACCTCGGTATGCGTTTATTCCAGTTATCAAAGGAACGGCACTTACAACACGTACATCGGGATGGGGTATGTGATCCAGGGCATGGACCAGGCCCTGCTGGGGGTCTGCATCGGAGAGAGGAGGAGAGTCATCATTCCTCCTCATCTGGCTTATGGAGAGCAAGGAGCTGGTGAGTTACTACTTGAGGTTTATACAAATTTCTCCCCCACAAACTCGCATCAAATGGAAGGGCAACGGACGTCCTGAGAAAAGTCTGGCTCTGGATCTTGGACTTGCTCCGACCCACGGCGTCTGCGATTCTTTAAGCTCGTCTAAACCGAGTCCTTGAGATGAGACCTTTTCATTGTGTGCAGGTGATGTGATCCCACCGTCAGCAGCTCTGGTCTTCGACGTCCACGTCGTCGACTTCCATAACCCCAGTGATAAGGTCGAGATCCATGTCACCTTCAGACCTGAGGCGTGCAACGACACCACGGCTGTCAACGACCTCGTCCACTACCACTACAACTGCACTCTGCTGGACGGGACTCTGCTGTTTTCCTCGTGAGTCACCGTGCGTCACCGTGCGTAGTTCTTTGGACAGATTTAGCAGAAGTTTAAGTTGCACCTCCTCTCCCACAGACACAACTACGAGAACGTCCAGGATGCGGTTCTGGGGGCGGACAAGGTGATTGATGGGCTGGATGAGGGTTTGCAGGGCATGTGCGTCGGGGAGAAGAGGCTGGTCACGGTGCCGCCTCACCTCGGACACGGAGAAAAAGGAGGTGAGGATTCTGCTGTGAAACATGATTTATTTAGTTTAAACTTAAATCTGCAAGGATTGATACGTATCCATCGTAAGCATTGTTCTGCACGAACTTTAGCTGCTGAGTTAAAGATGGTTCTGTCTGCTAGGTTCTGGCGTTCCGAGCAGTGCCGTGCTGCTGTTTGACATCGAACTGGTGAGCTTTGAGAAGGGCGTGCCACCAGGGTACCTGTTCGTGTGGCTCGAGGAGTCTCCCAAAGATCTGTTTAGTCTTCTGGATTTAAACAAGAATGAAGAGGTGCTACTAGAGGAGGTATGTCTGTGCTCTGTCACAAGAAAAAAAAAAACCCCAACTTAGTTATAATTTAAGGCTGGATATATAATCATAAAATGACTCACTGTGGAATTGTTTTTAATTAATCAATAAGGCTCTGTGCAACGCTATGGTTTAATTTGGCGCCATCTGGTGGTGAATTCAGGAATAGCAGCTAAAAGACATTTTATTTATCATAAAGAGAAATGCCTTTACTAATGTCCACTGCATGTTGTCCACATTACACCATTACCCATGATGCTTTGTTTTTTGAACATTAGTTTAGGGAGTTCATCAAGCTGCAGGTGGCAGAGGGAAAAGGCCGGATAAAGCCCGGGCTGACCATGGAGTCGGTTGTGGCCGACATGTTCCAAAACCAGGACCGCAATAAAGACGGAGTGATAACGGCCAACGAGCTGAAACTAAAGGTGGACGAAGACGTCGAGCGGGAGCAGACGAGGCATGAGGAGTTGTGAGAAGAAAAAATACAATGTTTTGGTTTTCTCTCAGGGATAAACCTCAAAAAAACCTTAAAAACATGAACAATCATCAGTGAGTGTTTCAGTGTCAGTTTATTATCTACGAAAAACTTTGGATGATTTATTTTTTATTTTTATGACAAGTAAACAGAATAAAGGGTTTGTTAGGGAGTTTTTTTTCAATGTGTTTTAGAAAATAACAGCTAAGAAACGAGCACCTTTGTCCCTGAATGTCACATTAAAGTGTTTGTTGAAAGAGATGTTTCATTTTTTTTTCTTGCAGTTCTCTGTTAAACTGTTGGAAGTAGGGATGCACGATATTATCGCCATGATATCAGTATCGGCCGATATTAGCAATAAAGTTAAATATCGGCCAGGCCAGCACGAGCACGTTATGATGGCATGCGCGCCGTTGAGTTTAATTTATGAAAATTTACACATTTGCACTGTTCAAGTGTTGTCATTGTGTTAGAGTAAATGTCATGAATAAATTTGACATTAAACATAATCCAAGTTGAAGTGTTACGTAATTTTCAGACCCCTTTTTGACATCGACATTTGGTAGCAGGCCAAATTGACAAAGACCATGCAGAATAATGTATTTTAATTCCACAGCAGAGAAAGCTAGTCTCTGTAAAGAGATCTAGGGAAGAAAAAAAATATCTGTTGGTATTGGCCAAATAAGTTTTAACATATCGGCATATCGGCCAAAAATCCAATATCGTTGGAAGCACCATGTCTGTTTTTGGTATTTCGGAAACAAAACTGTTACACATTAGATTTTAATGTTATAGTCAGAGTTGATGTATTTCTTATGGGAAGAAGTAGACTTTTTTTTTTTAATAACTTTTCCCCGCTCTGATTTTTTGCAGTTCAAGTCTGTATATTTCAGGTCGGTCCTGTAAAACATGTCAGAAAATTCAAATACTTTGAATAAAATACTAGCTGAAGTTCCACAATTTCTCCTTTTCTTTTTTTTTTTAACCAATGTTCGGTATATTGTAAAGGACAGGACAATGTACCAACAACTGCACATGTCTATCTAGCTAGATAGCTAACTATCTATACTTCTCTATAGAGCTATATAGATATGGATAGATAACTAGATAGAAAACTATATATAGATAGAAAGCTATATAGACAGCTTTATAGATAGCCAAATAGATATATAGATAGAAAGCCAAATAGATATATAGATAGAAAGCTATATAGATATAGATAGAAAGCTATATAGATAGCTATATAGATATCGATGGATAAAAAGCTATATAGATATACATAAAGCTATATAGATAATAGCTATATAGATATGTATAGAACATTATATAGATAGCTATATAGATAATAGCTATATAGAGAGCTATATAAATAGCTATAAAGATAGCTTTATAGATATAGATAGATAGCTATATAGATATATCTCTATATTTATCTATCTATATAGCTATCTCTATACATCTATCTATATAGCTTTCTATCTTTATCTAGCTATTTATATAGCTATCTATATCTATATTGCTATCAATATCTTTCTATCTATAGCTATATAGCTATCTATAGCGTTATATCTATCTATATAGCTATTTATCTATATTGTTATCTATATATCTAAAAAAGTTAAATCTGGTCCTCTGGACATTCAAAAAAAAACAAAACAAAGCAAAACAAAAAAATGTAGAAACGTTTCGTCTCTCGTCCGAGAGACTTCTTCAGTCTGAGGTGCTGTATTCAGCTCAGTCTCTTAAATAGCACCTTCTCAGAGTGGATCAACCAGTTTTGCTGCTGACAACCAAAACCAGCTGATCACATGCTCAAGAAGGACCATCAGCCTAACAATGGATCATTAGCACACTGATGGCTGTTTACTACTCACAGAGGGCTGAGTGATACTAGCAATCACAGCATTGTAAGAGGGGGACAATTGAACACGTAGGCCTCCACCCCTGTTTAATGATGGACGGTTTCTTTTCACAAAGATGGCCTCCTTTACTCCTCTCTCAAACCATCGTTCCTCTCTAT